GGAAAATATTTTCTGTGGAAAATTTCTTCTATCAATCTTCCAAATAAGTGGAAATTTGAAAATATTTTCCTAGTTGCCTGGAAAATAACGCGTATCAAACACGCCCTTAATGTTTCCAAATTAATTGAGTCTTTTGCACAAAACCGTCTTTCTAAATTTTCACACTGATTTTGCACAAATTGCGCAGAAAAGAAAATCAATCCACAGATTTTGAACTCTCTAATCAGCTGATCATCGCCCATAGATCATGCACAATGTTTGCACAGGTCACGCGGAATGCTTTTTTGCTGTAAACACAAATTGAACAAATAGGAAACATAGTCCTATTTATCAGGATTAAGGTTGGTATTTTTATCTAGAACCACTTGAACTGAATCAAAACTGGACTGAATGAGACAATTATGTAAGTTTGAATTAAAGTTGGTTTTGTTTTCGACTTTAGAATCGAGAACTTAACGGTTTTGGTTGAGGTATCAAATTTAGTTGCAAAATTGAATTTTAGCCCATTCAAATTTTTTTTAATAATCTTTTAGTTAAATCATAGTTTATATAAACTTACATGAATTAACATATTTGCAGAATAATCAAAACTTTTGTCACTTAAAATACAGAGCATGAAAGAGATGGGGGAAGATGTGGGGGTCATAGGGATAGTATTTTGTTTGATAGCACTTCACATAATAATCATATGCTTTCATCGCTACATCAGGAGGGATGATGTTCTTGCTCACAGCAAGACTTCAGGGGTCCTTTCACTGTTTGGAATTCTCTCTCCATTGGTAGATGTTGAAGCCAAAAGAAGAATCCTTGCAAGGTGTTCAAGCATGTTGGTTGGTTTCCAAAGAATATTCAAGCATTTTCTTAAAGGGAGAATGCATGTCGTCATAATTTTCTCCTTCCTCTTACCTGATACAAAACCTACAATCCTTTATTAGAGCTTACAATAGAAGGTCCCTATATTCGCAATGCATATTTTTTCATTCAAAAGCTTTTTATATGTTCATCCACGTCATCGTCTAAACTTTAACCTTCGAATGCAAGTTCTAAATCATAATAAATGTCAAAATGACTTTCTTTTACGAATATCAAAAACATATTCTTTTCCCGTCAACCTATTCAAAAAAATATCATCCTTTCAGATTTATTCTGAACTCTTAACCCCAATATCTCTGAGTCAAGATTTCTCATGGTCAGAAATTCAGGAACATCACATTTCCTTTTCCTCTTTGTGCCCGTGCTTTTTTTTTCTGCAAGAAGATTGTGTCAAGGTTTACAATAAGAAGGTTTTTTTTTTTGTGGAATGGAACAAGATGCAAAGAGCTAGAAGTGTGCTTTTGGCAACTATGTTAAGAGTGAAAAGGCGAGTATTTAGGACTTGCGACCTCACCATGTCGCACAAAAGAAACAGAGAAATTGAATTTGTAGTTCATATTTATACTCAATTTGAGTATTTAGGGAGTGTTTGATGGATATTATTAAGTAAAAGATGTATTTTAAATAGTGATATGATGAGAAATATGTGGTTAAAAAGTAAGGAAAAGTTACTGATGTGATGTAAAATATTATTTTGTTGAAAAATGTGTAGTTAAAAATGAATTTTGAAATAATATACTTTGAAAGAATGTGTGTCAAACAATGGCTTAATCTTTTAATTACTATTTCTCGATTAATGAGTCCTTAATTTATAATTTTTATTGTGATTAAAGTCCAAAATAGTGCTATAAAATAGATATATGACGACCATTTACCACTCAAGTAGAATTTAAGTTTTAATATCATTTTTTTTTTGAAAATTACTTAAAATTAATCATCCATAAATCTTGATTGGAGTCAAGCAAGTTCTTACAAGAACCATTTTTATGCTTTTAATAGACGAAAAAGCTCAAGATACTATCAAAAAAGTCGTTCGAAAAGTATTGATACTAAAATAGGAGTAAGCTAGCACAACGAGTGCACAACAGTTGCACAATATAGTTTAATTAAATTGTAGGTCCAATAAATTGTATGTATATTCTCTCGCAATCCAATTATTGATTACAAATTCAAATATGGGTTGAGTTCAATTTTAGGGGTTTTGCCATTCTCCCCCACAAATTTTATCTGGGTTTTTGCTTTTATTTTTCTTGCCTTGCTTTTTAAGTGTGAACATTTTGAAGTAATTTTTTTACAAGCGCAGCAATACTTATATATTTATTACTTTTTCTTATTTATTCCACATAATGAGAGGAATAGTAATTTTTTGAAAAAATGTGTGTTTAAAAAATAAGGAAAACTTTTTGGGTTACAAGTAATATTATTTTATTAAAGAATGTATGGTTGTTAAGAAAGACAAAAAAATAAATTATAATTTAATGAGCAATAATAGGGCCCAAATAGGGGCTTAAATGAAGAATTTGTACAATTCAAAAGATAGAGTAGAAAAATAAAAGAATATTTCACACGGGGAGAGATTTATGCAATATATCATAAGCTTTAGATTGTAGTCCACATCTATGTACTTCTTTACTATTATTACCTTTTCAAATTATTTTTAGAAATCAAGCCTACTTTCTCTTAGTAATAGTTTCTTTAGTTAATAAATTGAGTCACCTAATGTGAAGTCGATTTATTAAAAAAAAAA